GGAGTCTCACTCTGTTGCCCAGACTGGAGCGCAGTGGCCACTCCCAGCCACCGCAGCCTCAACCTGCTGGGCTCCGGCGATCCTTCCGCCTCAACCTTCCAAGTAACCGAAATAACAGGCATGCGCTACTACGCCCGGCTAATTTCTTGATTTATTGTAGAGATGAGGTCTCGCTGCCCAGGCGGGTCTCGAACCCGCGGGCTCAGGCAATCCGCTCACCTCAGCCTCCCAAAGGCGGTGTTTTTTTTTAATTGTAGAGACAAGGTCTCGACAAGTTGTCTGGGCTGGTCTCAAACCTGTGGGCCCAGGCAATCCACTTGCCTTGGCCTCCCAGTGCTTAGATTACAGGCTGAGCCACCAAGCCTGGCCTATTGGCAATTTTTTAAAGGTTATTTTTATTTTACTTGTTTTTTCTTATGTTTAATTAATACATCATATTTGTACATATATATGGGGTACATGTGATATTTTGTTATGTGCATACAAATATGGAATGCTTCATGATTTTGTGTGTCATTCTTGTGCAGGAGCGCATACTAATCTTCTCCGTATCATTCCAATTTTGGATATGTGCCACTGAAGTAAGCACAATGTTGGCAACTTTTGATATAAGGTTAAACATACGTACACATGCCAGCAGTTTTACTCCTAGTATTTATCCAAGATAAATGGAAGCATGTCCTTGCAAAGATTCGTATGCAAATACTCATAACAGATTATTTTTAACAGATAAAGATAAAAAGTGGAAATGACACACTGTCTATTAATAGGTGAATGGATAATTAATTTTCATATATCTGCACAATTAAAAACACTCAGTAGCTGGGCTTGGTGGCTCAGCCTGTAATTCCAACACTTTGAGAAACCAAGGCAAGAGAATTGTCTGAGCCCATGGGTTTGAGAGCAGCCTGGGCAACTTGGTGAGACCTTGTCTCTACAACAAAACAAAAATTAGCTGGGTGTGGTAGCACGTACCTGTAGTTTCAGCTACTTGGAAGACTGAGGTGGAAGGATTGCCTGAACCCAGCAGGTTGAGGGTGCAGTGGCAGGGAGCATGCCACTGCACTCCAGCCTAGGTGACGGAGTGAGACTCCAACTCAAAAAAACCCCAAAAAACCCAGCAGTAAACAGGAACAAATTAGTAATAATATAACATGGATGAATCTCAAAAACATTATGCTAATTGAATAAGTGAGCTGCAAGAGTGCATACTGTATGATTCCATTTAAATGAAATTCTAGAGAGAAGCAAAATGAATCTGTATTGACAGAGAGCAGACCAGTGGTTGCCTTGGGCTGGCGGATGGGGGACTGGCTACAAAGGGGCACAAGGGAACTTTCTGGGTCATCAATAATGTTTTGTATCTTGATTGTCATAGTGGTTACATAAGCATACATTTGTTAAAAGACACTGAACTATTACTTACTTAAAAGGGGACACTCTTTCTATGTAAGTTTTACCTCAGAAAAGCTGAATATTAACACTTTTTCCCATTAAGATAATCAGTTACTCCTCAAGGATCTTTCTGCAGTGTTTAATAACTGTCTCCTTCTTGAAGTCCATGTCGGATTGCTTTCTCATCTCCAGCAGCTTTGGTTTCCTTTGCTGGTTTTTGTTTCTGGTCACACTCATTAGATATAATCATCCCAGTAATCCAGTCTCACTTTCTAAGAGCATACCTCTCCTTACAGTTTCCATCTCACTGCTGATAGCTTTCACATTTTTATTTTTTAACCCTGACATCCCTACACAACCCAGCAGTTGGATTTTTCTAGGAAACTCAACTCCTCATCTCCCAAATTGACTTTACATCATTATATTAGGCACCCAAGCTCATGATCTCAGAGTCATCCTCACTTCCTCTTCCTTTCTTTCTTGAGCTTTCCCTCATTTCTATATCAGGTTAATTCCCTAAACCAGTTGTTTATCTTTCAAATGCTCCTTTCATCTTCCCTTTAGATTTTCACCACTCTTTATTACCAAATATCCAGACGGTTATAGCAATAACAATTCTCTTTGTCTCCATTCACAATTTTTTCTCCTTGCTACATGACTTTGCTACAGTAGTCTTCATAAAATCCACTTCAAATCCTCTAATATTTCTGTTCAAAATTCTTCAGTGTACCCTTGCTTCTCCTCTTGCCTATGAGAAAAATTCTAGCATCCAAATATCAATACAGTCTAGCCCCAACCTACCTTTTTCTTTATTTTCCCTGTGAAGTCATCAATACCCATTAAAATAATTAGCTCACTACTTCCATGCTGTATCCAATGGCATGTTTCCAGCCCTAAATGCCCCTTCCTCTCTGCCTATTCATTTTGTACCTGTTTTTCAAAGCCACATATTTTACCAGCTGGGAGTGACTTTTTAAAATTTGGGTACAGCTAGCACTGATAATTTCCTGTATGGCAATGCTTTCTATTTTTGTTCATCAAACGTTTATTTGATAGGCAGCATGGCATGTTTAAGAGCATTTAGCTACTCTCTCATTCACTTTTTAAAAAGGAGCATAATAAAAATAACATCTCATAATGTAGTGAAAAATAAATGATACTATACATTAAAGTCCTTAGGACATTACCTGACATATAGACATGTTCAAATATAGCTACTTATATGTGTATTTTTTTGAACACTGAGATAAGAGGAATAGAATTCTTGTCTTTTAGGGGCTTTAATATGATCTAAAAATATGTCAATCTTCTCATCTGGATTCCTGAGATTCTAGATTTAGCAAATAACTTTTAAAATAGGGATCTGTTTGACATAACCATGACTTGAACTAGCAGCAAGATTGCATGGGAGGATCACAGTGACAGAAATTGTGCCGCCAATTTAGCTTGTACTCTTTAATTTATTCAGAAATATAAAAAAATCTATCAAACAAATCTTCCTTCCTGCAATATTTAGGGATCTGTTTCTTATGCTTTTTGGATTTTATTTCCTATAATAACTTTTTAATGTCCAATTTAGGAAGGTTTTGTTTTGTTTTTTCATTAAAATTTCATCTATTTAGGACCAGGAGCTGCATTGTCCATTCTAGACGAAGATCTTACAGAACCCTCCAAACTGCAGTCTGATTCACAAGAACCCATTGTGACTGCACACTCTCAGGATCCAACTATGAGCCAAAAGCCATCTAACACGTTTTTAAAGGAAATACCAACAAAGAAAGGTAACTGGAAATAGATATTTCCACTTGGAAGGGGGGCATAAACTGACTAGACAAGGATGAAAACTCTTGTGATTATAAAATAGCAATCCTGACTTGTTTGAAGTTGATTAGCTTATCTGCCATATTGCCCAAGTTATTTAATATAAGGTTAGGCCCTGAAATCCAAATTCAGTAGTGCACTCTTTCATTAAGCAAGGATTTTATATTTAGCTCACAGAAGTAGTCAACTACAGACATATGATTTCTTAACAATGCTTCATTTTAAACATATCTGCAAATTGAGTTTCGCATTCAAGAAGATCTGAATACTTTTAAACAGCTTTTCATGTGGTTGTGCTTGGATTTGGAGTTCTCCTCTTGGGCAACCATTGCTAGAGAGCAGTCTATTGCTCTCCAGATTATGATCTTTCTCATGTATTAGATGGGAATACTCTCCCTGCTATGTTAGTGTGTCTGATCTGACATTTTTCTATTACATTCACTCTTCTATCCTTTTAATATAATATTTTCAGAAACATCAAAATGTCAAGATTCATCAGCTGTTCTGCATCCCATCCTTCATTATGATATTTCTCAACCTCCTACCACCATCTTCATGGAGACCATACATTTCCTGATGAAAGTTAATGCTGTGCAGGTCAGAATATTTGGAAAAGGGCAAGTAGATGGAAAGATTTCAGTAGACTATTTATTCTCTTCATAATGGTATCTTTCAAGCTTAGATATCTATGAAGCAGAAATCAAATCTGCTTTTGAGAACACTCCTTAAACCCAGTGGGAAGAACATCCAAACATGAACCACTCTTGCAGATGGCAGTAGACCTCACTGTAAGTCTGCTTCTTGTAGAATACCAGCAGAGCAAAGTCAGACTTTAAATCATATGTTGCCCAATGATACTTTATTATGGGACCTCACGTTAGGTGAGGATTGGGTGTTCACAGGAGCCTACTTATTCCCTACCTCCCTTACAGGTTCTGAACCAATTAGAAGCATACACAGTGATATATGGGGGCATAAAACTATTAACATTATTTTTATTGGTAAAACTGGGCTGGAGAATGTAACTGGTGCCACATTTAACTTACTCAAGCAGTAGGAAAGAGAGCAAGGTTCAGGAAACAAGAGTGTTGGCCCTGATTCCTGCAAAGCACATGTGCCACTCAGGAAAGGGCAAGAGTTATGAATTATGTTGGATTGTGCCACGTTAAGCAGAGCTTTTAACACATTAACCCTTCCTAATAGAGAAACAGGCTCTCTCTCCCCTATAATTAAATAAGTCATTAGCTTCCCAGGTCAGAGAGCCAGAAGGCAGGCAGAGAGAATAGCTGCAGCCCCTCCCTTTAATATTTTCCTAAGAAGGTATAAGTTAGCGAAAGTTTCTACATATAGGCTGAGACGGGAACAGAAGGATTTATCTTTAGCAAGTACATCTAATTTTGTCAAGTTTGTAGATCTTATAAAGTGCAAACAAATACAACAACAACAACAAAAAAGATTAGGCTAGGCATAGTGGCTCATGCCTATAATCCCAGCACTTTGGGAGGCCCAGGTGGGAAAATTACTTGAGGCCAGGAGTTTGAGACAAGTCAGGGCAACATAGTGAGACTCAATTTCTACAAAAAATAAAAAAAATTAGTCAAGTCTGGTGGCACATGCCAGTAGTCTTAGCTACTCTGAAGGCTAAGGCAGAAGGATTGCTTGAACCCAGGAGTTTGAAGCTGCAGTGAACTGTGATCATGCCACTGCACTCCATCCCTGGGTGAGAGAGCAATATCTTGTCTCTAAAAAAAAAAATAATAATAATTTAACCCACAAAGGTTGGCCCAAAATACAAACTGGTAAACATAACAAATGTTTGGAGGTATACTAGAAACGGACATTTATATTTCCAAGATCCCAAGTCTAGAATTTTAGAAAGGCAGTTTTGCCTTACTGTAAGTTTCCTTACCATGACAACTGCCTAAAAAATGTTACCTCATATAAATGGGTGGCTGATGATGCGGCTTTGTCTGCTGCATAAGAAATATAGTCTAACACTTGCCTGGTACTGGCTGGCAAGACCAGAATTGTGTCATATTGCAGGTTATTCACTTGGAAATGTCTTCATTTGGTGATGGAGTGAAAAGCTGGTAATGGAATTGTGAAGTGCTGAATATTTGTAATTCAACCCAACCTTATGAATTTGAGGATAATTCTTACTCTATAATATGTTTCATGTTATTTATTGTCAACCACAAAAGCTATGTTACTGATACAATGCAGTCATTTACATGTTTCTTATGATATGATTTTCCTTGCAGTATGTACACAGAGTGCTTGCACATGAGCTATTATGTCCTCAAGGAGGCCCCAGCTGTGAGTATTACTTGGTGCTAGCCCAGACACACCTTCTCAAGAAAGACTTTGCCAAGACAGAGGAATACCTTCAACAAGCAGCCCAGATGGACTACCTGGTAATGACTTTTGCGAGAGCCTCTTGCGTCTGGGGCAAGCAAGCTCTCTTAAGTGGTGATGCTATATTACAAGTAAATTCCTGGTGAACATAGGTAGAGGTTATTAGCTGTCAGTAAACCCATCTATCTATATCCTTCCATTTGTTTTCCTTAAGTAATCATGAATTTTGCAAAGAACAAAGAAAAGAACAAATTCTTTAGCAGATAGTGTTTATCTATTTCAGGTTTTCTAGACTACTTCTATTTTCTCATTGTGCATAGCATCATGTTATGCTGGAATGTTTTTCTAAATGTTTATTCCCATGGACAAAATGGTTTTGAAGAATGCAAGAAAGAAATGAGAGGGCATACCTAGAAAAATATCTCTTGGTACAATTTTTCTGAGTGCGGTTAGAAAAAGTGCTATCTTTCTGAGTGCTGTTAGAAAAAGAAAATGGCATACTTACCTGGCAAGAGAGATACTATGATCACAAAGGTGGGTTTCCCAGGGTGAGGCTTACCCATTGCATGCCGATGTGCTGACCCCTGCAATTTCCCCAAATGTAGGAACCTCGACTGCATAATTTGTTAATTTGTGGTAGTGGGGGACTGTGTTCACACTCTCCCCTGAGGAAGAAAAAAAAGAAAATGGACTTAATCTAAATGTAAATATCAAACAAAGGTCATGAAGTTACTGTTAAATACTACCTCATCCCATGTAATATTTGTTCTTCCCTTTCCCAGAACCCTAATGTCTGGGGCTTGAAGGGTCATCTGTATTTTCTGAGTGGAAATCATGCTGAGGCCAAGGCGTGCTATGAGCGAACCATTAGTTTTGTAGTAGATGCTTCTGAAATGCACTTCATCTTCCTGCGACTGGGGCTCATCTATTTGGAAGAGAAAGAGGTGAGAGATTGAAGATGGGGAGTAACCAGGGTCTGGGACTGATTGTAGTTCAAGCACTAACATCCATCTGTGTGGACTAAAAATAGTAACATAATAATGACACTTTTACATCCCAAAGTAAAGTGACTTGCCCAACATCAAATAACCAGTAATTAGTGGAAGCAGCATTCAAACCCAGGCGATCTAAAAATAGAGACTGTTGTTTTAACCACTATTACGTTATTAAGAACTCAGTAAATGTTATTTTAGCTAAAATTTTATTTTATTAGCGGTAGAACGTTCTTAGCTTAACAGAAAGTGTCATGGACTTCAAAAAGACTCTTCCAAACTTTCTCCTAAACAGAAGGGTTATGTTTAATCTAGCTTAAGCTAACTCCATTCCATAGGGCACTCTGACCTGACTATGGAAGCACTCCCTCCTCGTATTTTGGGAAATACTCCAGTTGCCGATTGTCAAGTTCTGCTATTCATTGCTAGCAGGCCAAAATGAACAGGCATGAGATGTAGTGTAAGGGAAGTGACTTTATTCCAAATGCTGGATGATGGGGAAATGGCTAGGCTCATGCCTCAAAGAAACTATTTCAAAATCGTGGGCTGAGAGCAGGAGATTTTTATAGAAAGCCTTTCTGGAGTGGTGCAGGATAAAGGACTTTCTGGAGTGGTGCAGGATATCATCTTGAATTGCTATTTACCTGGAGAGCAGCCTATCATCATCTCAGTTGTAGTCAGATTATAGATTAACCTCCCAGGTGTGGTTTCTGAATCTTGTAATGGTGTCTCAGGCACCAGTGGTTTCTGAACAGTGAGGCTCCATTTCTCAAGCAAGTGCACAATTAGAGCAATGGGTATGTACTTAACCAGAATTATAGGATCGCTGTGTAGAGGTAGCCCAAAGAGGAAAGAAATTAAAAAAAAAAAAACTTGAAGTGTTCCCACAACTACATTTTGTAATTAATAACAAGAAAAAAGTAATTTTCAAAAGTTAGAATTCTCAGTTATACAAGACCTTTGGAAAAAAGCTTCTTTTATGGAAAATTTCAAACACATACAAAGTCAACAGAATAGTAGAATGGACCACCAAGGACCCACCATCTCACTATAAAAATTATCAACATTCTAGCTGGGCATGGTAGCTTGTGCCTGTAATCCCAGCAATTTGGGAGGCGGAGGCAAGAGGATTGCCTGAGCCCAGGGGTTCGAGACCAGCCTGGGCAACTTGGTGCGACCTTGTCTCTACAATAAATAAAAAAAAATTAGCCAGGTGTGGTGGCGCATGCCTGTAGTTCCAGCTATTTGGAAGGCTGAGGCAGAAGGATTGCCTGAGCTCAGCAGGTTGAGGCTGCTGTGGCTGTGAGCATGACACTGGACTTCAACCTGGGTAACAGAGTGAGACTCCGACTCAAAAAAAAAAAAAAAATTATCAACATTCCCCCAGAGGCCCTTGACTCACTGCTTTTGTTTTGACTTTATTCATTTCTCCCTCATAACAGCCAATTCTCTTTTTATTTAATATAAAACAACAGCAACAAGAACTTACAATGCCTTGTAATGTAATTGGGAAGGCTCACATAGGCCTGAGAGAAATCACTATCCAAATGTAGTGAAGTACATAAGTAAAAGTTTTCTTTCTGATGTCCTGTCAAGTTGCATCTTCACAGTGCTGCCGACTCAGATAGTCATTAGGCAGGCAATCCTTAGGCTGTTTGCTGAGCCTCAGCTGTAGATCTAGCTCTCACATCGGAGATACAAGACAAGCAATGGTTCCTTCGTGACCACTTCTTTTGAGAGTTTTTTGTGTTTTTCTAAAATCCTAACCCATTTTACAACAAAGGGAACAGGTTCTCAGAATGAGGAGGCAACATCAAGTATACCTCTTAGCCCAGAGATTGTGCATCTGTCATGTTACCACATGATGTCACATTTAAGTGAAAGAGAGTAGTCCATAAAGTCTAGATGGAATTCAGATAATCATTGTGATCACCCAGAACTTTGTGTAACTCCTTGCCTCAACTCTTTTATGTGTGTGTATGTAGGAGTCTCACTCTGTCACCCAGGCTGGAGGGCAGTGGCATGCTCCTGGCCACCGCAGCCTCAACCTGCTGGGCTCAGGCAATCCTTCCACCTCAGTTTTCCAAGTAGCTGCAGCCACAGTTACGTGCCACCACACCTGGCTAATTTTTTGATTTATTGTAGAAATGAGGTCTCACCAAATTGCCCAGGCTGGTCTTGATCCCGTGGGCTCAGGCAATCTTCTCACTTCAGCCTCCCAGAGTGCTGGAATTATAGGCATGAACCACTGTGACTGGCCCTGCCTCAACTCTTACAGACTATAAGTGGCTTTGTAACTGCTTCCAAATGACAGTCTGCCCTTTCATTTGACCTATTCATTTGCCCTTACTAGTCTTCTTGTGATAGCTCCCTTCAGGTAGATTTAAAAGTACAGCAAAGGACTTGCTTAATTTAGGTTTTTCTGGAGTGCTACTATCAGAGTTCCCATGATTAGGATTAGGATTAGCAAAACAGTGTTTGAAGCTTCCAGAACAGTAGCTCAGTGGTGCTTTCTTTCTACAGTATGAAAAGGCGAAGAAAACCTACCTGCAAGCCTGTAAGAGATTACCCTCGTGCCTTACCTGGCTAGGACTGGGAATCGCCTGTTATCGGGTAAGACAACGAAGGCTTGAGACTAGCCCTGTGCATACAGCTGACCTTCATGCTTCCAAGCATCCTGGGGGTTTGTGATGACAGTGGAATGTCAATCAGTGCAGCCTGCTCTAATGAAAATTTGATCTTCAAAGGTGTTCAGAGAATGGGAGGTCACTGAACTAGCTAGACAAATAAAATATCCTTTTAAAAAATCCCACAAGAAACCTGAACTCTAGGAAGCTATATAACAAAAAATTTTCATGTTATTCAGTATAGACACTATTTTGTGATATCCATAAGAAAAAGGTGATATGGGAGATTAAGAACCTACTTGATTCCATTAAATAAACTGATGGATACTTATTAAGCACTGTGACCCTTCCGTATGCAGGAGGAGCTGCAGTAGCTTCTAGTAGAAGATTTTGCTCCATCACCCCTAAAAACCCTCTCCTTACCCTTCGTTCCTTTCCTCCAGTCTTCAAAGAGACACACTCCCTGTTGTTCTTGCCTAGTTTCTTATGTGTATTCTTAATTCCATCCCTTTTCTTTTCTTCTAATTTCTCTTCATTTTGCTTTATTTTTTTTGAGTCAGAGTCTCACTCTGTTACCCGGGCTGAAGTGCAGTGGCACACTCACCACCACCCCAGAGTCGACCTTGCGGGGTCTGGTGATCCTTCCGCCTCAGCCTTCTAAGTAGCTGAAACTACAGGCGCACACTATCACATCTGGCTAATTTTTTCATTTATTGTAGAGATGAGATCTCACCAAGTTGCCCAGGCTGGCTTAAACTCCTGGGCTCAGGCAATCCTCTCGCCTCGGTCTCCCAAAGTGCTGGGATTACAGACTTGAACCACCGTGCCTGGCCTAATTTTACCTTCTTCTTGATTTATTATATTTAAAAATTTTTCTTCTTGACCAGCTCCTTCTCTGTACTTTTCACCTTCTTATTAAACAACCACCACCATTTCCAGGTTATCTATATTCCTGTCTCCTCTTCTTCATTGTGGTTTATTTTTATTTTTTATTTTTTGAGTTGGAGTCTCACTCCGTTGCCCAGGCTGAGTGCATTGTCACACTCATGGCCACCCCAGCACCAACCTGCTGGGCTCTGGCAATCCTTCTGCCTCAGCCTTCCAAGTAGCTGGAGCCACAGGCGCACACTATCACGCCTGGCTAATTTTTGATTTTTTAATTGTAGAAATGAGATCTTGCCAAGTTGCCCTGGCTCGTCTCAAACCCGCAGGGTCAGGCAATCCACCCACCTCGGTCTCCCAAAGTGCTGGGATTATAGGTTGAGCCACCGAGCCCAGCCCACTGCTGTTTTTAAAGCATAAAGATAATATATGTTAATTATAGAAAATTTAGATGATAGAAAATATTAAAAAAAACCATTAAAATATCCACGATCCAATAACTCAGTGATAAACACTTTTAATATTTGAATGCATTTTTCTGCAGTCTTTTTCATCTATATGAAAGCAATTTATATTATAAAATGTAAACTTTTACTGCTTAGTAATTTTTTTTTCTACTTAATATAGCATTGATGTCTTCTCACAACACCATAGTATAAAACATGAATTTGAATGACTGCGTAGTTTTTCCTGATATGGACAAATAAGTAGGATGACCATATAATTTGTCATACAAACCAGGACACTTCTGAGAATGAAAAGAATGTTGTTATAATTACAGTGGGACATGAGGACTGTTCCAGGCCAACCAGTTCATAGTGACACATACATCAGCCATGTGCCCCTGTTCCACCTTCCCAGAAGGGATGTAAAACATCTGTAGCTGTTAGAAATCTTGAACTCATAACACTTTTCAAGTTCTGGCTGACCCTTATATCAAACAGTGTAATGAACAGCTCAGTTTGTTGGTTCCCAGACACCTCAAAATGCACATATCCAAAAGTCAATCTAACTTATTCCTTAAGTACTCACTTCCTAAAGCTGATACTTTCTCCTGTATTCCCTATGTTGGTGAATGGGGACTATGATGAACCAAATCAATCAACCCAGAAACTCTTTTTTTTTTTTTAAGTTGGAGTCTCACTCTGTCGCCTAGGCTAGAGTGCAGTGGCACGCTCATGGCCATTGCAGCCTTGACCTGCTGGGCTCAGACTATTCTTTCACCTCAGTCTTCCAAGTAGCTGGAACTACAGGTGTGCACCACCACACCTGGCTAACTTTTTGATGTATTGAAGAAATGAGATCTCGTCATGTTGCCCAGGCTGGTCTCGAAGCCCTGGGCTCAGGCAGTCCTCTCATCTCTGCCTCCCAAAGTGCTGGGATTACAGTCGTGAACCACCCCAGAAACTTAAAAGCTGTCCTAGTCTTCTCTCATTACTTGTAATTAGTTATCAAATATCCTGTTGGTTTTGTCTCCTGGATGCATCTTGAATCTAGTGACTCCTCTCCATCTCTATTTTTACTGTTCTAATTTAAGCTTCTTCCTTTCTTTATCTGTTAAGGTGGTCTCCTGTCCTCCCTCAACTCATTTCCCAATTCGTTATCAAAGTAGTCTTTAATCCCAGCACTTTGGGAGACACAGGCGAGAGGACTGCCTGAGCCCACAGATTCGAGACCAACCTGGACAACTTGGCGAGACCTCGTCTCTACAATAAATAAAAAAATTAGCTGGACGTGGTGATGATGCATGCCTGTAGTTCCAGCTACTTGAAAGGCTGAGGTAGAAGGCTAACCTGAGTCCAGCAGGTCTCAGCTGTGGTGACTGTAGGTGTGCCAAGACACTCCAGCCTGGGCGACAGAGTGAGACTCCAACTCAAAAAAAAAAGAAAGCAAATACCATGTTACTCTCCTATGGAAACTCTTCAATGGCTACCCTTTGTTTTCAGATGAAATTCAGATTCCTTTGAACATGTATATGACCTATTCGCTGCCTAACTTTCGAATCTCATCACTTCCCCATCCACTTCCTCCCCGCCTTCCTGTCTCCCTCTGCCCAACCCTCTATTTTCTGTAGCCACACAGGCATACTTAAGAGTTTCCTGAGCATACCATGTTCTCTTATGCCTCCATGCCTTTGTATATGACATTCCTCTTATCTGGAATGCCTTTATTCACCTTGTATAACTAACAAACTCCTACTTATCCTTTAAGATTCACTTTAGGCTAGGCACAGTGGCTCATGCCTGTAATCCAAGCACTTTGGGAGGCCAAGGCAGGAGGATCACTTGCACCCAGGAGTTTGGACAAGCCTGGACAACACAGCAAGACCTCATCTCCACAAAAAATAAAAAAGTTAGCCAGGCATGGTATTGCTCACCTATAATCCCGGCAATTCAGGAAACTGAGGCGGGAGGATCACCTGAGCCTAGGAGGTTAAGGTGGTGGTGAGACAGAGATTCCAAATCAAAAACCAAAACAAAACAAAACCTACTTTAGTTTCTTTTCTGAGTCTGTCATTTAATCTCAGAGTAGAAATTATATTTTCCTTTGTTCCTCTACTAGTTTTATTTTAGAAATACTTATTCTATAATGAACTAGTTATGTTTTTGATTCTTTGTGTTTTATTTTTCATGTCAGTGAGTCCTTTGAGGGCAGGGATTGTATTTTATTTTCTTACTCTCAGCATCTAGTATACCACCTGACATCCTTAGAAAATATAGGTTGATTGAATAATGAATCAATATCTCAGAGACACTTAAAGTGTGGGCCAAAGTATGGGAATGGCTGAAAGACTATTCATCTTGTCTTGGGCCTAGAAACCCATTATTTTCTTCAGAAAAAATGAAGAGCTACTTTATTGGGGGAAGGGAGAAGCCTTGTTATTTCTTTAGGTGGCCTTTGGAAGGTTTTACAAAGCAAACTCACAGTTTTAGGGAGCAGCAATGATTTTCATGTGCACAGAGCTCAGGGAGCACCTTAGAGTCTCTGGATTCTGTATTGATTGCTCAGGATTGGGCTGTTAATAACTGATATTAGGGGAAAGAAAGCTTTCAGAACAATGATATTCTGATAGGCAACTCAGACTTTAACCTCAAGAAAGGAATACACAATGTAAAGAAGAAAACTAAAAATGTATCTGACAGCCCACTGTGTATAATAAAATGTATATAAAAATGTATTGTGACAGCCCAGTCACTGAATGATGCACACATGCTAGTGAGTTTTGTTGGTTTTCCAACCCTGGCACCTGAGTTCCATGGTTTATAGATGTCCTGATAACACTGCTGGGGAGAGAAGGAAGAAGAGAGGATGTGAGTTGAGAGCCTGCTAGGCAGAGCTCCAGATTCCCCTACTGGCTTTTTAATCAGAGAAGTTGCATTTGTAATTGGTTCATATATTGAAGTATCAGATTTTGTTTGAAGAAAGAGTTCTGAAAAAACTAAAAATAGAAAAAAATGAAAACCACTGGTATAGGTCACGTACACCATTATTCCTTAGATATGGAGGTTTCAGCTAAGAAGATGCCAGATGACTTAAGTGAATACTACTTTGATTTACAACTCATGCTTCTCCCTTTTCTGTCAAGCTGGAGGAGCTCACAGAGGCTGAGGATGCTCTCTCTGAAGCCAATGCGTTGAACAACTACAATGCTGAAGTATGGGCGTATCTGGCATTGGTCTGCCTGAAAGTGAGTGTTTGTTATTCTTACACAATGCCCTGTTAAGGCACAGAGGTGAGGGGTCAACTAAGCAAGAGACAGCAGATGGCCATGAATGTATGACAGCTGAAGTCTCATGAGCTCTAGATTTGGTCATTATAGTGTCTACAAAGGAAAGGCCAAGTCTGGGAAGACTCTACTTGGAATGTACTTAAAAATCATATTTAGTCAGGCTCGGTGACTCAGCCTGTAATCCCGCGCCTTTGGGAGGCTGAGATGAGTGGATTGCCTGAGCCCATGGGTTCGAGACCTGCCTGGGCAGGTGAGACCTCATCTCTACAATAAAATCAAAAAATTAGCCAGGCGTGGTAGCGCGCGCCTGTAATTCTGGCTACTCGGAAGTCTGAGGCAGAAGGATCATCGGAGCCAGCATGTCGAGGCTGCGGTGGCTGGGAGCGGTCACTGCACTCCAGTCTGGGCGACAGGGTGAGACTCCAACTCAAAAAAAAAAAAAAAAAAAAAAAATCATATATTTAGATGTGTTTTTCTGGAAAGGAAGTTCCAAAAATGGGATCAAGATTGTTTCAGAACTTAAACCAGGGGCAGGTCAGGTATAGTAGTAGCTCATGCCTTCAATCCTAGCACTTTGGGAAGTCAAAGCAGGAGGATCACTTAAGAGTTCAAGATCAGCCTGGGCAACATAGTGAAACCTTGTCTTTACAAAAAAATTTTTAAAAATTAGCCAGGCATGGTGGTGTGTGTGTAGTTGTAGCTACTCAGGAGGCTGAGGTAGGAGGATCACTTGAGCCCAGGAGTTCAAGGTTACAGTTAGCTATGATCCCACCACTGCATTCCAGCCTTGGTGACAAAGTGAGACCTGTCTCAAAAAATAAAAGGAAAGAAAGGAAGGAAGGAAGGAGGGAGAGAGTGAGAAAGGGAGGGAGGGAGGATGGACAAACATAAACTGGTCAAAGATCAGAAGGAGATGCTCTACTAGTCTTTCTGAATCATTTCTTCCTGTTAAAAAGCTGGCTGAGGGTGTTTAATCTGTCCTTGTTCAGATGGGTGGAAGGTCTTGTGGGAGTTTATGATAGGTGCTTTACCTATTAAAAAATAACTCTCCCATAGTTAGACTTAAGTATCTTGTGCACCAGTCTAAGATCAAATTGGACATAATGAGAACAGCCCTTGGCTTTCATTGGTCAATGTGATAGCAAGTTGACAGGGAGCATTATTATAAGAGAAATGAACAAAATAAAAATTACTAGAGTTTCTCTTTGGTATAAACATCCCAAATATTAATATCAGAAATACTGACTTCTTTTCCCACCTCTGCCCCAACTAGCTGTGCTATCTGGGGCAAGTCACTTAACTTTATTGAGTCTCAGTTTCCATTTATGTATGTTTGTATGTATGTCAGGGTCTCGCTCATTTAGAAACTTAAAACATGCTTATTATTAATTCATGAGTCAAAGAAGAAATCGTGACAATTTCAAATATGAGGTCTTGTGCTGTGCTAGGTAGAATTCTAAAAATGACTTCTCCCCCAAGATTATGTCATCAAATGCTAATCTATATACTGCTGTGAAGGAATTTTGCAGATATAAATAAAATGCCAAATTAGTTGACCTTAAAATACAAAGATTATCTAGGTGTATTTTACCCAATAAGGTGAATCTTCTAAAAGCAGAGATTTTTTTTTTTTTTTTCCTGGAGGAGTTGGGATGGGGGTTAGGGAGAAAGAAATTCAGAGAGATCTGAAGCACAGAAAGCATTCAACACACTATCCCTGGCTTGAAGTTGGACTGTAGGTCAAGGAATGTAGGTGGCATCTGAAAGCTAACAGCAGCCCCTGTTGGAAGCCAGCAAGAAAATAGAGACTTTCATCGTACAAGTATAAGGAACTGAATTCTACCAACAACTTGAGTAAGCGTGGAAGTAGGTTCGTCTCCAGAGCCTCCAGATAAGAGCGCAGCCCAGATGACACCTTGATTTTGGCCTTGTGAGACCATAAGCTGAGAACCAGTTGAAGTGCTTGTCTTCTGTACCATGGAAAATATTATATAATAAATGGGTGTTGTACACAGCAGTAGAAAACTAATAGACTTTGTAGTAGATTTTTAATAATAATGGCTCCCACTTAATTATGCTTTTATGGGCTGGGTACGGTGGCTCAAGCCTGTAATTCCAGAAGTTTGGGAGGCTGAGGTAAGGGGATTGCCTGAGCCCATGGGTTCGAGAACAACCTAGGCAACTTGGTAACACTTCATCTCTACAATAAATAAAAAAATTAGCCAGGCATGGTAGCAAACGCCTGTAGTTCTGGCTACTTGAAAGGCTGAGGATGAAGAATCGTCTGAGTCCAGCAGGTCGACGCTGGGGTGACTGTGAGCGTGCCACTGCACTCCAGCACCAGCCGCCCTCCCCCCAAAATTATGCTTTTATGTCCATACCCTTTGGAGTCCATACCCTTTGCAATGGGATGTTACCACTCATTCCCATCAATAAATGGAATCTCTTTCTCATTTCTCCACCCCTTTGCATCTGCTTAGTTAAACAAATAACTTTCTCTGACCAGTAGAATATGGCGGAAGTGCGCTGTGTGAATTCTCAGAGGCTAGGTTTTTAGAAACCCTGCAGCTACCACTCTTCTTCTCTGGTACCACCATGCTGTGAAGAAGCTCAGTTTAGCCTATAGGAAGCTTGAAGTCCACATGGAAGATAACTGAACCACTTCAGTCAAGAGCAACATGTTACTATTTGAATTAGTCTATCTTGGACTCTCTAGCCTTAGCCAAATTGCCAGATGACTTCAGCTGCATGATGACCTTGGGGAAGGCCAACAGAAGAACAGTACAAATTACCCATAGAATTTTGAGAAGTAAAATATTGTCTTTGAAGCCATTAAGTTTTGGACTGAATTGTTATATATCTCAGTAGATAACTGAAATAAGACTGAATAAAAATAAAGCCGTTATATGTTAGAACTATGGGATAAAATTAAAACAATAAATAGAGATAAATTGATAGCCTTAAATACACATATTAGAAACAAAGATTGAAAAATCAATGAATTGGCCGGGTGTGTGGCTCACACATATAATAACAGCAATTTGGGAGGCCTAAGTGAGGCCTAGGTGAGAGGATTGCCTGAGCCCACGGGTTCAAGACCAGCCTGGGCAACCTGGCAAGGACCTCATCTCTACAATATATCAAGAAAAATTAGCCAGGCATGATGGTTCATGACTGTGGTTTCAGCTACTTGGAAGGCTGAGATGGAAGGATCACCTGAGCCTGAGCCCAGCAGGTTGAGGCTGCAGAAACTGTGAGCATGCCACTGCTCTCTGGTCTGAGTGACAGAGACTCTAACTCAAAAAAGAAAAAGAAAAAGAAAAGAAAAACTAATGAATTAATTATTCAAATAAGTAAAGTAGTAAAGAGAAAGCACAGAAACCCAAATAAATAATTGAGAAAATGATAAGGAGTAGAAATAAATGAAAAATGTAAAAAGGACATAATAGAGAGGATTAATAAAATTGTAAGCTGGTTTTTGTAAGAGGCTAGTAAATGAAACTCTTGCATGACTGATTAAGAATGTTGTTAAAAAAAAGAGAAGGCACAAATAATATTAGCTGCAAAACGAAGATGGAATGAAACTCAATGGCTAAAACTCAATACCAACTCATTATTTAAAAAAAATCAAACTAGCTTTTTTAAAATCTAAAAATATAACTTCCAAAATGTATACTCTCACATGAAATGGTGAAAAATTAGATGCCTTCCTTTTGAAGTCAGGAACAAGACAAGGAAACTTGTCATCATCACTTCTATTTGGTATTCTCCTAGAGGTTCCATCAAGGCAATAACACATATATGTAAACACATGAAGTTAGTTGAGGTAAAAGGACTAGGTGGGAACCCAATAAAATCTACAAACTGAAAGATGTAATAAAAGGACTCAGTACTGAAATGGTAGACAAAAATAAATAATGATGGTTACTAGGTGGGGGAAGGATTGGGGAGCAGGGTAGACAGGGAGAGGGGTAGAAGCAAAACTCATTATACCCTTTTGATTTTTGAGTCACATAAATGTAGTCAACAAATATTAACACATAGAAGTGTATTTAGCAAGGTTGCTGGATAAAAGACAAATATAAAAATATCATCAAAATAGATATCAGGAATAACCAATTTGAAAGTCTGATTTTAAAAATCCTATTCAAGGTCTGTGTAGAGAAAACGATTACACGGTATTGTAAAAGAATATCTGATTGTTAGAGAGATATACCATGTCTATGGGCAGGAAGTTCTGATAACATAAGGAAGAAAGTTTTTCCTCAATATCTAAGTTTAATGTAATTCCAATAAAAATAATAACATATATTTTTAGGAACTTGATGAGATAAATCCTAAAATTTAGTTGGTTGAATAAAGGCCAAAAATATTGTTATGACGATGTGGAAGGATGGTTAAGGAGGAAGTACTTTCCTGTTAAATAACAAGTCTTATTATGAAACTATAAGAATGAAATCGGAGTGGTATTACTGTAGAAAAAGATAAGTGAAACAGAATTGACAGAAATAGACCCACATACATACAGAAACTTAGGTTTTGATTAGACAATATTTTTAAATAATTGGAATTTTCTAGGAATTTTCCCTGAAGCTCTTCCTCCAGTTTGAAAATGAATGTGTGCAAGTTATTAATTGCAGCATTACTGCAATTGCAAAATAATGGAAGCAACCTCAACATATACGAAGCTTCTTTTTAAAACATGGGTGGGTTGGAGCTGCATCAACTGGAGCTTAAGAAGCTGCACGCAGGTGCAAAAGACAATGGTAAAGAACAAATACCTAGAGCAAAAGGCTAGGATTATAAATGTACTTCAGTTGGCCAGGCAAAAACACTTTAGACCTAAAAGCAAAGCAAAACCAGTTACCACTAATCTCAAGAAAATAAACATCTGAATGAAGAAAAAGTTAACAGAGTAAATAAAGCATTTGTAAATATACAAAAAGAACTAGCACACT